GTATCAAAAAACCAGGTAGAAAAGCACATTCAAATGACACTGATTTTGGATGGCTAATTTGCTGTGATTTTGCTCCATTGTGACTTGGCATACTTTGCTCATTGTCCCTCATTGTTTAGCCATTTCTGTGTGATTGTTTCAAGGTATAAGGTGATACCCTTAGCTTTTGCAGACCTGAGCTGTGTCGGCTCTCAGCCATCTCAGATGTCTTGGAGAAATGTACCTTGTGGTTAATACTTCATTTCCTCTTATTTATTCATCAGTTTAATAAAGGATAATAAAAAGCTCGATTATATATATATTTTAATCTTTAAAAATTGAATAGATTCAAAAACAGTATAAGAAACCCAGAAAGTTGAATGAATTTCTAACTGGTTTCAGCATCACAGGCAGGCAACAGTAACATGATAAGCGCCTTGCAGAAGTCCAAAGAAACTCATGAAGCAATGCATGCATTTTTATCAACACAAATTAAGACTGGACTCGAGGGAGAGAAACTACTGCAGTTAGGTCACATTGTCATTGCAAAAGCATTGTGTGCTACAGCGCACCATCTAGGACACGTGTCTAGCCACCTATCATATAGCATCACTTAAACTATAAACAGAACATTACTAGGTGAAAAATATTTATAAAATACTGTACACTGCTTCCTGAATTGGCCAGCAGATGTAAACAAGCAGCTAAGTCAACTGAGTTTCAAAAGAGTATCATAAGTTCATTTGTTTCAGATGGTCCTTTTCCATAACATGCCAGATCATCTTTCATCCAGTCACAACTCACCGATCACAGCTCACAGTGGCTCATTAGAAGATGAATATACAGCAGCTTATACAGACATTTATAGTGGAGCCGTACGGGAGAATGTGGGAATCATATAATAGTTACAGATGGGAACAAAAAAGGCAATTCTTCCATGCATATGTGAAGAACATGGATTTTGGACCGAGAGTATTCTTTGCAACATGTGCTTCTTTATTGAATGTTACAGATTTGCAAATAAGTGAGATAATGCAACATTGAAACTGTCCTGTAACATTCATTAATACAACCACATGCCACAACACTACTGGGCTATACATGAGTTACATAGGTATTGTAATACAGCAGTGTATAACAGATCATATGGCATCAGCTATAGATAGGACATGATGGACTATTGGGTAATCTTTATTGTCGTTAGAGAAGTTATAACAGCACATGACATTCACTAAGAAGAGTGGACTGTATAGCCTCAGAATGTGGAATAAAGTACTGTCCTGGCATCTATTATCATGTTATCTATAGAAACCATATTTTAGAAGGAATAGGGAAACAATCAGAAGAAAACTTTTTTTTTTTGCGTTGTTATGAGCACTTTAAAAACATTTGATTTATATATTTGAAAAGATAGGACTTTCAAAGTGCTAAGTAGTATCCTGGACCTCTAAACTTGGATTATAAAAATCCAGTTGAGTAAAGTGCTGTGTTTTGACCTCTTACATCACTTTTGGCTTGGAGAAATAGGCAAACAACTCACAGGATTCCCAGCGAGTTCTCTCCTGAACTACAGTTCAGCAAAGAGGGGTTTTCTAATGATTAATGCTTCAAGCACATGCCAGTCTTATCCATAAAGATGAAGTGTGCTAATCCACGAACACACCACAATCATTTTCATAAAACATTCTTAGATTAAAAAGAAAAGAAACAGTGATTCGTAACAAATCATTACATACAGAAAACAGCATAGAAAAATTGGCACCTCAGAAGCAGATTCTTAACTCAAAGCTTTTGTGTCCCTGGGCTCTGTACTGCTTTGCTTATACTAATTTTTTTTTTTTTTTACAATCTGCTTCTTGTGATCATCTCCACTCACAGAGATATGCAATAAACATCCCCTGAATCAGTAACATTGCATTATAAGCAAACTGGTTACAGACTAGACAAGACAATGGGATCAATGCAGTATTGGTGTGTGGAGAACAGAGATGGAAAGAACAAGATAAGAAAAAAAGTTTGTATTTCTGCAGTGATACATGCATGCACATGAAAAAAAGTGAGTCAAGAATGTTGCAGGTTGTATTTAAAGACATTAGGTCTATTTTGTTCCAAAGACCTCACAAGGTGAGTTTGGATTTGGCTTCAATGTACAACTAAACCAAAGAACCAGGTAGAATTTTGGTCACAATGATGCATTTAATGCTAGGGGCCCCTTCCTTCTTGTCCTCTAGTATCCCTCTGCCTCCCACAAATAATCACAGTATGAAATATTGTTTTTGGTTGTGATTTCCTTCCCCCCCACTTCAAATTTCAGTTCTGAGCTAGAATGATGTCTTAATAGCTTAAATGGTATTCTGTCAGAAGAGGATGACTTTATCGTCATTCCTTGGTTCTCTTAGGGATACTGGATTCTTGGTGGACCCGCCAAGTGTTTGAAACTCTCTAAGCTTTCAGGCACAAGGATCATGAAATCAAACCAGCAAAAAGGTAAGCTATGAAATGTAATACATAAAAACTCTAGAACACCTCTGGTTCAAGTTTGACTTCTGTGACTTGGTATTACTTTTGATAAAACCAAGATGCAGGCATCTATGGCTGAGTTTTCAACACTGGTCTCTGAAAATTAAAGGGGCCTGTCCCTAAGTTAAATATTTCCAAACTGTATTACATACGTGAGAGGCAGCATGGCATAATGGTTAGAGACTTGGCCTTTGAACCAGGAAGACTTGGGACCAACTCCTGCCTTTGACACATACTGGCTAATGTAACCCTGGGCAAGTTACTTAACCTCTTGATGTTCTAAGACTAAGTTTCTGCTTTGGTGGAGGGAACTTTCTTAGCAGGAATTTCCTTAAACCAATGAAATCACAGCCTGGGATCCCTATCACAACTGTATCACTGTATAACAATTAAATGTCTTTTAGGTAGGATTGGATATTTCCAAACATTCCTCCTTTCTCATTGTTGACCAATACAGAACTAGAGGGAGTGTAAGGTTAAGGTGTTTGTGTGGTAGTTAAGGGGTTACTGACACAAGGACAGTCTACCAGAAGGCTTTTATGTAGAAAACTCCATTGAAAACAAAGGATAGATGGATGATGTCTAGTTAAATTTTTGCCTCACCTAACACCATTTATTAGTCTATACTCTGGGAAAAAATAGTTTCTTGGCTGTGCAACAGAACTAGCCAAGGTATGTCCCGTAGGCATTTGGCCATGGTTGAGACAATCACCTAGAGGCAATATCATATCTAGCCTGTGTAGCCTTATGTGTCTTCCCCCCCCCCCCCGACCATGGGTGACTGAAGCTCTGAGTAAAGAAAACTGAATCTTCACTATATGGCTCCATGATTCTCATTGACAAACAGCTAGCTTTCATTAAAAAAAAATGTTTCTTAATTTGAACATCTGATCTCAAAATATAAATGAAACTCTCCATCTTTGGTTATCTCCCTTAGACACCCAAAGTAAGAGCGAAGTCCAAGCCACAGAGAAATTTCTAACCTTCACAGAATGTTCTATATAGGCAATGCTTATTTACTGTTCATATATATAGTATATTATATATATATATATTTCTCATATAACTATCTGAATGGTTCATCTGCTTTATACTTTGGTCTATGGCATCTTTCTGTAGCTTTGCTATAAGTGTTTGCAGGAATAATATTTGTAGTGGAACTGTAGCTGATGGCTTTTGGTTGTTATTCAACCCCAATTACCTTGAAAATAATTTAATGTTTTGAACCCAATCCCCAAAAGGTATCTGGATCCATTGTAAAAAAAAATTTATAACAGCCCTTGAGAAAATCTTATTAAATTTACACTGAGATGAGATCAGATGGCAAAACTGTGGGTGTGAAAATATTTAGATATAGTCATGTCCTAACATAGAAAACAATCATGATGGATGGTGTGAAAAATTGGCAGTGTGATTTTGGGGCTATGCAGAAAACAAGTAAACATGATGGTGATGTGAAGGATGAGTAAAGTATAGCAGCAAACTGAACATGTTAATTACATCAAACAGTGAGAGGATAACCCTCTTACTTATGGCACTGTTTCAACTCTTTCTGCCCACTGTTCAACATGGTACCATTCTGTGAATAAATTCATTGATGACAAGTATGACTAAAAAAATAAATATATAATATTAAATTACTTAATTACATTCATCTTGAGCTCGCTCAAACTGTACTAGAATGCCCACTTATATAACAAATTGCTGGACAATTTTTTTTTTACATACATAAATTCTTCTTTCATTTAGATTACAATCTAAATACAAAGGCATTTCTTGTTCCTCTTTTCCCCCTTCTTCAAACAAGATCAACAGTTGCGGCACCAGAAGTGAATATAAAAGAGACAGGTGAACTAGGAGTGTTACCTTGTTTGTTTCTTTATAATGATCAATTACAGAGGTGTTGACATGTGAAGGATGTGGGACGTTAGGGTTGCTTGCTGCCGGCTTATACAGAACAAAAAGGATGCTCTTCATCAATCACCACAATGACGGAACCAATGTAAAAAGAAAACAGAATTGAAGTTTAGAATAGCTCATTAAAAAAAAAAAGAACAGCTCATTTGTATGCTGGTTATTTTATTTCATCATTTTTAAAAAAAATTAGCCCTGTGTCCTAAAAAGCTTGATCATGGCCAAAAATCAAAATGGCACCTTCTCGCAGTGACTGAGCTTGGTGCCCATTCGTTCCCCACAGCTGACAGCTATGTAAGGTGGAGGACTTTCTCCAAACCTAATACTAGGCTCTTTTATTTTCCCCTTTCCCTCCCTCTTCCCTCAGATATGAATGGGAATCAAGGCATGATTTGAGGTCAGGGTGTTTGACCCCGGGACACAGAGTTTTCCCAACCAGTGTCCCAGAAATGAGCTTTAAAACAGAACCCTCCCAAAGTGATGTAGTTTTGCTTAGCTGATAAAAATAGACAGGGTACAAGGAGATGGAGGGACTCGGGGATAATGTCTCATCTCTCCTGCACTGTGTAGGAAGGAAGGTCTAAAATTTAACTGTGCTTGCTTTCAAAGCTGTGGAAAGCAGCAGTTCTAGACAGTCTCCTCATGGACAGGCTGTCCCCTCTACTTTCTGGCCTGGAGGACTTACTCCTCTGGAAGGGGTGCCGGAGGCTGGCTGTGTTACTGGTTGTGTTGCGTTGTCTGTCGAGTTTATCACTGATGGAGAAACTTTTCCTGGTGTGTGGGTAGAGTGTGCTGGGCTCTTCCGCAGAGTAGCTGTTGGCTCTCTCGATTTTCGGGAGGGCTATGTTGTTGGACAGGGTTCTGTCTGAGTTACTGCCCTCTTGGGTGGGTAATGCTAGTGTCTTCCGGTCTTTGGCTTCATTTTCTTCATTGTCAGAGCTGGGATGACTCAGTTCTGCTTCTCTCTCTGGATGGCTGCTGGCCAAGTCTTCCACTTTGTCTCCAAGGCCTCCAGGGAAGATCACCCTGTCAGCTATTGCCTGAGGAGCATTCACACACCTGGTGTCTATGCAGTCTGTAATGCTTGTGTATTCTGCTGTTTTGACGGGAACCCCAAAGTTGGTATAGTAGCTCCGAGGAGATGAGAACATAAAGCTATGGGATTTCACAATCGGGGCCTCCTCAAGAAGAAAAGGGGTGGTAGCCAGGTAGCGGCTACTTTTTGATCGCTCTATTGTGTGATACAAGGGTGGGTCCACATCCCAGGGGTTTGGGCACTCTGGGAGGTGGGTGTAGTCTGAAGAAAAAGACCTTGTGTCCATTGAAGTGATATCCTCAAAATCCATGCTCCGGCTTGGAGGTCTGTCTGTAGGTGCGAGAGTTGCATAGGCACTACTTGAAGGGGCAGTGGATGCTGCTGGAGCTGGAAAGATTGTCTCTCCTAGCCCCAAGATATTCATGGAATTGTCCAGAGGGTCTATGTCACAGTGGAGTTCATCCATGGCGGAGACATAGATGTCAATACAAGATGATGGTCTTCTGGAATCGGGGATGATTGCCAAAGTACTTACAGGGGCTGGAGCAGCCTTGGTTTCTTTTGATATTGAGTGGGAGCTAGTGGCTCGGTGTAGACTCAGGGACCTTTCTTTAAAAATACTTTCCAACTTTTCTATACCACTTTTGTCTTTTATATTCATGGAATAGAAAGAATGACTTCGCATACGGGGCATTAAGGTTGGAGAGGTTGGGGACATTGACTCCTCACCTGCAGGGTCGAGACTTTCTTGGAGCTTGTAGGTGTTCCCTTCCTGGCTGTTGAAGCTGCTCTGGCGAACAATGTAGGCAGCGTCTGTACAGTCGGAGGAGGTCCGGGAGCGAATCTTATTGGACTCTGCCCTTTCCAGACCAGTAAGCCGCTCCAGCGCCGTGGCCATGCGTCCTATCATGTCCTCCAGCTGAGCGAGCCGGATATCTACTGTTTGGAGGGATGCCTTCATGCAGTGTTCTCGCTCATTCACTTCCTCGAGGCGCATGGACATGTTCTCCACCCTTCAGGAAGAAAGGAACGCATGGGTCATTTGCATTTGGACAGAGCTGAATGTCAACAGATTAATTTATAAGGGGTCCAGGATAAAAGGCAGGGAGACCATAGTGGTGCCCAGAGTTTAGACTCTAGTTTATTCTGTCAGAGACAGGGGAAAGCAGACCACACTGTTAACCAAGAATCATAGGAACCATAGCTAAAAGGGACCTCTAAGATCGTCTTATTTGGTCCCCACCCCAGCTCTAAATTCATGATATTATGACCTCACATTTCACAAATGAAGACACTGAGGAACAGGGAAAGTAAGTGCCAGCCAGATTCCCAGAGGTAATTAGTGGCAAAAAGTAGAACTTCTGATTGAAGCGATAACTCTCTCTTCTGAATTCTCGAATTCAGAATACCTGTATGTTGCTTACCACAACTGTATTACATTGTAATTCTTTGGGCTCATGTCTTGTCTATCATACTAAATCATAAGCTCTTTTGAGGACAGGAACTGCTTCTTATTTATCTTTCAATTAGTCAAAAATTTAATTCCTCATGGCGTCCAGCACAGTGAACTCACAAGAGCTCAGAAAATATTTGTTGGCTAAATGAATGAGAGGCAGTGTGGAGTAGTAAATAAAAACGCTGACCTCGGCATCAGTTAAATCTAGGTTCAACCTTTGATACATCTCACTACTGCCTATGTGACCCAAGGTAAATGACTGAATGTCTTTGTGCCCTAGGCTCTCTCTAAGAATATCAGTCGCAGATCAGTTGCCAGTCTTGAGCAAGAGAAGTTTCCTCCCCAGGAGCTCCCTATGTGGTTGAAATCATGGGACTGGCCAAATTAAAAAAAAAATGTGCCAGGTGCTATACTGGATGCCAGAGGTAAGCTGAGGGTGAGGGAAATGCAGTAGAATGTAATCATTTATTCACGTTTGTGTAATGAGTATGTTGAAGATACATTGACTTTTTTTTAACTGACCAAGTTAAGAAGGAAAGGTCCAATCCATGCCAAGTCATATTTCCATCCCAATCTTCCATTAAAAATGTATTGAGGCCACTCTTAGGGAAAAGGAGAGGGTGGTCCATTTAGAACAGGGGTTCTTAATCTGGGGCCCATGGATAAGATTTAAGGGGACCCATGAATTTTGATGGGAAAAAGTTAAATTTTAATTTCAGTATAATGGGTTTCCTTTGTAATTCTACTTATTAAAAAATTATTTTGAGAAGGGGTCAGCAGACATTCAAAGGGATCCATTATACAAAAAGGTTAAGAACCTCTGGTATAGAGGTTTCTAATTTAGAGATTCTGGAGAAGCTAAAGGTACCCTTTTTCTCAGCTATAGATCCACAAGGAACATTGAGTGTAAATCATTCCAATAATATGATCTTAAAACTTTAACTCTTGTGGATCAGTGCAAGAAGTAGTTGCCATAGGGGGCAACTAGGTGGCACAGCAGATAGAGCACTGGCCCTAGAGTCAGGAGGATCTGCGTTCAAATGTGGCCTCAGAACACTTGACACTATGTGACCTTGGGCAAGTCACTTAACCCTGATTGCCTTGTCTCCCTACCACCAAAAAAAAAAAAAAAAAAAAAGAAGTAGTTGCTATAGAAATGGACATTGACAAAGAGTGCTCTTTGGGAAAGTCTCTTTGTTTTTGTGTTTTTGCTTTTCTTCATATCCCTAGGACTTAGTATAGTATTTGGAACATAGTAGGTGCTTAATAAATGCTTGTTTATTTGACTTGTTAAGAAAGACATTTTAAGAAGGTCATTGACAAGCTGGAGTCCATCTAGTGGACACAGTATATCATGATTTCAGTGATGCATTTGAAAAAATCCTTCATGATGTCATTGTAAATATTGTGAACTAGATCAAAATAGTTTGATTTGTAAGTGCCTTTGAATACCTATCTTGCTTAATGTTTTATCAACAATTTGGACAGAGGCAGAGATGACAAATTTATCACATTTTCTGATTATTTGATCTAGTCTGTAGCCAAGTCCTGTTTATTCTACCTTTTAAATATCTCTTGTACATGCCTCCTTCTCTCCTCTGACACCGTCATGACCCTGGAGCAGGACCTTATTGCCTCACACTGGAATGATAGCCTGCTAGTTGGTCTCCTGACCTTAAAGCTCTCCTCATTCTAGTCCATCCTCCACTCAGCAGTCAGACTGATGTTCCCAAAGCCCAAGTCTAGCCTTGTCACCACCGCCCCTTCCTCTTTCTTCCCCTCGCCTTCCACTCAATAAACTCCAATGGCTCCCTATTGCCTCCAGGATCAAGCATAAAAGCCTCTGTTTGGCATTTGAAGCCATCATCTGGCCCCCTTCTACCTTTCCAGTCTTCATACACCTTACTTTTCCAGCCCCAACTATACATACTCTTCTGTCTTATGGCATTAGCCTTCTTGCTATGTCTCACACGTGATCTTCCATCTCCCTACTCTGATCAGTTTCACTATTTGTCCCTCATGCCTGGAACGTTCTCCCTCCTCCATTCTCTGACTTCCTTCATGTCACAGCTAAATTCTGACCTTCTACAGGAAGTCTTTCCCAATCCCTCTTACTTCTAGTATCTTCCCTTTATTGCTTATTTCCAGCTTACCCTGCATATAGTTTTTCCTATACATAGTTATTTTCATGTTGCATCATCCACTAGACTTTGAGTTCCAGAGAGTAGGAATTGCCTTTTGTCTTTCTTAGTAATTTAGGGTTAGTAATTTAGTTGGTTGGTAATTCCCAGCTCTTACCAAAGTACCTGGCACTTAATCAATGTGTATTGCCTTGCCTTGACTTGATAGATGAGGAGACTGAGGCAAGAAGATGTTAAGTGACTTGCCCAAAGTCACACAGCTAGTGTTTGAAGCAGGATTTGAACTTGGGTCTTGCTGATTATGAATCACCTAGCTGCCTGGATATGATACATTTTATACCAATGGGCTCTATCCCTATTAGATGTGCCAGGGATAAAGAAGAGAGCCAGATAATGTGCTCTGGGAAAATTTGAGGAAAGAACTAACTTTCATATGGGAAGGCACCATGAGGAAGAGAAGGGAGGCAAATTAAACCACCCACCACCAATGAGGAAACTTCTCTAACAATGCAGAACCAATGGCACAGGATCTGTAACCTCGAGTTTGAGAAAGTTGCCTGGGGCACTGAAGGATTAGGTGAATTACCCAGGGTCACACAGCCTGTGTGTTTTAGAGACGGATCCTGAGCCCACATCTTCCATTTTCCAAAGACACCTTCCTATTCTCTATGCTGTGGCTACCCCCAGCTGCATGAATAGTATACACAGCAAGGAAATAAACAGTGCCATTGTACTCTGCACTGGTTAGGTAATGTGCTCACATTTATTTTTATTTTTTGCTTTCTCATCTATTCAGCTATATTCTTTCATTTTATTTTTTAGATAATATTTTATTTTTCCACAATTACATGTTAATACAATTTTTAAACACTTTTTAAAAAAAGTTTTGAGTTTCAAGTTTTATCCTTCCCTTACCTCTCCCTTCCCTGAGACAATCTAATATAGGTTATACATGTGCAATCATATAAAACATTTCCATATTAGTCATTTTGCACAAGAAGATTTGAACAAAAAAAAGAATGAAAAAGTGAAAAATAGTATATTTCCATCTGTATTCAGACAATAGGTATCACATTTTAAAAGCAACATTGACTAATTAGAATGCTTCTAGAGTGGAGCAAACAGGATGTCACAGGTTTTTAGCAAATGAAATATCATAAGAAATACTTGTTTTTTTTTTTGTTTTTTTTTTTAGGCAATTGGGGTTAAGTGACTTGCCCAGGGGCATACAGCTAGTAAGTGTCAAGTGTTTGGTCTGAGGCCAGATTTGAATTTAGGTCCTCCTGACTTCAGGGCCGGTGCTCTATCCACTGAGCCACCTAGCTGCCCCCATAAGAAATATTTGAAGGAACCATAGATGTCTCAACTGGTAAAGAAAAGACAAAAGTGCATGATAACTGTTCTAAAATATTGGAAGGGCTGTCAGATTGAATAGGGAATGCATTTATCCTGTGTTGCTTCAGGGAAGGGTCAAGAACATGTTGGAAAGTAGAATGCCCTCACTGAGGGCAGAAACCATTTTTATTTTTGCCTATATCCCTTTGTGCCTAGCACAATGCCTGGCACATACTAGGTGCTTAATCAATACTTGCTGAACTGAAGTTATAGGAAGGCAAATTCTGGCTCAATTCTGAGAAAGAATTTTCTAACTACAGTAATTCAACAAGAAAATGTTTCTCTGTTACTGATAGTATTCAAGCAGAGGGTGGACAAGCATGTGTCCAGAATGTTGTAGCAGAGATTCTTGTGATGAGTGGGAGGTTGGACTCAACGACCTTTAAGGACCCTTCTAGTTCTAAGATTCTGTGATTTTAAGAGCTACGCAGGATGCATTTCTGGCCTCCACACACAAACCAGATTGTATCACGTAGTTTGCTCTAGTTTGAATCAGGCATGGTGCCTGGACATCTCTGCTTCGTGTGGGTGCCCTGCAGTGGCTTGAACTCAACTAGCAAAAATACAATGAGTTACTAAGCAGATGGGCATAGAATGGTGTGGTGCAGAGTGCACGAATTGGATTTGCTCAGCCAAGAGTCCCCAAATCCTAGAGAGAAGTAGATGAAGATAAGCCGTTCCTACAAAATTGCTGTGAAGTAGGAAATATTAACTCAGTCCTGGGGATCAGATATTCAAAGAACTGACCACATTCTGAAATAGGATTACTTAGAAGATATGCTGAAAATTTTGGGAGAAATTTCGATGGCCGTCTTCAAACAATAAATAATGATGGTTATTAGTGGCAGAGACATTACTTGGACCCACGTTCTCTGACTTCAAAATAAGCGGGTGATTTTTCCACTCTATCCAATGTAAGTCACTATAAATGAGGAGCAGTCTAAGAGCTGTGAGGGACCTTAGAAATTATCAGGCCAGCACTCTTCATTTTACAAATGAGGAAACTAATTTCCAAAGATGTTAAGTGACTTGCCCAGGGTCACACACCTTGTAAGTGTTAGAAATAGGATTCAAACCTTGATCTTTTTTTTTTTTTTTTTTGGCAATTGGGTTTAAGTGACTTGCCCAGGGTCACACAACTTATAAGTGTTAAGAGTTTGGTATGAGGCCAGGTTTGAACTCAGGTCCTCCTGACTTCAGGGCGGGTGCTCTATCTACTGCACCACCTAGCTGCCCCCAAACCTCGATCTTCTTGCCTCCAAGTTGAGTGCTCTATTCCTCATGCCACAGATGAGTTCAGTTTTAGACATGTTGGGTGTGATGTATTGATGGAACAATAAGGTGGAGATACCCAGTTGGACATTTGGAAATAAGGGATTGGAACTCTGGGAGTAGAAATGTAGATTTGTGGGTCATTACACAGGGGTTGTGATTGAAGTTATGGGGAATAGATACGCTCACCAGGGGAGAGAGGAAAAAAGAGGGGAAAAAAAAACCTTTGAGAATGCCTATTTTTAAAGGACAGGAGGAAGAGTTAGTATCTTGGAAGCCAAGCAAAAAAAGAGTATGCCGCAAGAGCAGGTGGCCCAATGGGATAGATGCCATACTGATTACCTCTGTTGTCATTATCTCCTGATTTAGACTTCAGCAAGGCAGAATCATAGGATTTACATCTGGAATAAACCTTGAAGGTAATTTAGTCCAACCTCTTCCCTTTATAGATGATTTATAGATTTATCGATTCCCTTTATAGCTGAGGCCCACAGTGGTTACACCTGTAATCAAGGTTATATAAGTAGCGAGTGGCAGATCTGGGATTCCAACCCAATCTCTCCATAACAAAGTTAGAGTTCTTCCAGGTCGTTTCCAAACATGTTGCGTGTGTTCCATCTGTTATCCTTGTACCCCTCCCACCAGACCTGGATGATGCCCTTGGGAGTCTGGGCTCCGATAGGTTAACTTTCACTTTATCTTATCTAGAACCAGGCCTCCTTGCCACTTTCTAGTTATCTCAACACCATGCCCTAAACCTATCCCTGACCTCCTTTACACTTATGTCCCCTTTGTATATTGTCTTAGTCCAATTGAATGGAAGCTCTTTGACAGCAAGGACTGTCTTGCTTACTTGTGTTTGTATCTTCAACATTTGGCATAGTGCCTGGCACATACTAAGCACTTAATAAATGTTTTAGCTATCTATCTATCTGTTTCTGCCTAACTATCTAGGTGGTGCAGTCGATAGAGCACTGGCCCTGGAGTCAGGAGGACCTGAGTTCAAATACGGCCTCAGCTGTGTGACTCTAGGCAACTGCCTCACAAAAAAAAAAAATAATAATAATAACAATAATAGCTAACATTTATATAGCACTTACTATGTGCCAGTGATTATCTCATTTGATCCTAACAACAATACTGGAAAGTAGGTATTATAATTATCTACACTTGACAGATGAGGAAACTGAGGTAGATAAAGGTTAAATGACTTACCCAAGGTCACACAGTGTCTGAGGCTGAATTTGAGCTCAGGTCTTCTAGACTTTCTAGTCCCAGCACTCTAGCCACTCTACCACCTAAGTGCCCAGGAAGACCTGAGTTCAAATCTATCCTTAGATACTCATTGGCTGTGTGATCCTGGGTAAGTCACTTAAAAATCTCTGTCTGTCTCAGTTTCCTCATCTGTAAAGTGAGGATAATAATAGTATTTACCTCCCATGGTAGTTTTGAGGATCAAATGGAATAATATTTGTAAAGCACTTAGAGTGCCTGGCATTTGATAAAAGCTTGTTGTCTTTCCCTCCTTTCCTTGTCTGAATAACGTATACTGAAGACATAGATCACATGTGTATATAACACTGCTATCTGAGAATACCATGCTTGTCTGTTCATTAATAAAAATCTTGTCCTAGGCCAGAGAAGAGAATCATAGTTGATTTTTTGCCTCTGTGGTCAATTCAGCCAAAATAAAAACTGCTTCATATTATTGTGATCACAATATACTTTGTTTTGGAGTGACCGAGGTGTTCAGGATGTTTACAAAGTCCTGGAACAGTTTAAACTTGGTTAGTCTTGGCTGTGTGTACTAGATGCACAAACAGTGCATGGCACGTGTTCATATCTTTACTCACCCTGGCCACATGTTTGGGAATGGGGGAGGAGGGGGTGGGAGTGGGGGAACACAGGACCAGGAATAGAAGGCCATTTGTGCAATCTCTCCCCAGCAATTGGAGAAGGTTTTCAAGTTGGGTAATTAGATTGAATTATACATATCTCCCAAAAGGCAGATATAGTTATCTCAAAGCTAAGAAATTTGAACTAGATAGTCTTAATTCCTTATGAATTATGTTTATTAGTTTCCTTTAACCATGTATCTATGTTGATTACTTCACTTTAAAAGTTGCATGAAGATTTCATAAATTCTATAAACAATGTGTGGGAATAACTTACTCAATAGTGCTTCTTTTTTGGGAGGGTATATGCTGAGCAATTTATTTTTTTTCTGATGTGACCTTAGATTTCATGGTTACAGGGAACTTTCCATGAACAACTTCCTCTCCCAAGGCACATTGGCACCTTCTCTTCAATTTATTGTATTGAAGTCACTTGAGGCAACTAGAGGTTAAGTGATTCGCCCAGGGTTATATGCATAGTCAGTATTAGTAACAAGATTTGGACCCTTCCCCAACCCCCACCCTGTGTGCTGTTCTCACTGTACCATACTGTTTCCAAAAAAGCACAGGAATGAAAGGAATGCAAAAATTTGGCCTCATTTTCAAACTTAAAGAGTAAAGATGGAGTCCATGAAAAAGAACTATGTACCCAAAGTGTAGCATGCGATACAACAAGCAACATCCAATTTTTGTTGTCCTGTCATATCACGTTAGAGCCATCTTTGTTGTCAAAGCCCTCAGGTACTTTTGCACAGGGAGCAGGCTCACTAGCATTTGAATTTTGTTGGGGACAAATCAGCAGCAGAGACCAGAACAAAATTCTGTACTGATAAAACCACCTATTCTGGGGAACAACCGAACATTGACTCTTCTTGGGGGGAGACAGTCATTTGGACCTTCAAGTACAACCAGAAACATTACATTTTAAAATATACTCCCTTCTTTTAAGTGAAATGGAATTATCTAATAGCTTTTGGAAAAGCAGTCTACAAATGGCAATGAGTATTTTAAAGAAACCACCTTTTTTTTTCATCCTCTATTATGTTTTGTTGTTCAGCCGTTTTTCAGTCATGTCTGACCGCTTTTGGAGTTTTCTTGGCAAAGATACTAGAATGCTTTGCCATTTCCTTCTCCAGCTCATTTCATGGATGAAGAAACTGAGGTGAACAGGGTTAAGTGACGTGCCCGGGGTCATATAGCTAAGTGTCCGAGGTTGGGTTTGACTTTAGGTCTTTCTGAGTCCTGGCCTGGCTCTCTATGCACTGTGCCACCTAGCAGCCCTTTTATTATATATTTTTATTTTAAAAAAATTCAATGTTTAGGAATTTGTTTGACATTTTTTCCTTATTATATATTTTTGTTAAAACTCAAAAGATTCCTAAACACTCAAATTTTTACAGTGACTCTTCATTACTTATTAGAAGCTTTGGGTCTTCTGGGGTGTCCTGGAGCAAACTCAAACCCTCAGGGACCTTAAGGAAATATCAGACCTGCTACAAATTGGATTCTCTAGTCTGGCAGTAGCTTCTCAGAGCTGGGTTTGAGTCAGAGCTTCATGTATACTCTGGAGTGGACCTGTCTTGGATCCACCTTGACTGGTGGATAGGGGTAGTAAGTCTACAACCAGGAAGAGTCAACGTTTGGGTGGTATCTCTAATGCTTGTTACTTAGGCAATGGGCAAACACATGCAATAAATTCTTGTTCTTAGTAATTCTTGTTCTTATGTTATTATTAATCATTAATTGCTTTAATATTAATTATTGTTCATAATACATGTTGTCTAGGACCAAATGCTCAACTGGCCTTTGGGTTATTCCAATCCTATCCAGATTCCTATAGACACTGTCCTGCTTTGAACCACTGCATCTTGGAATTTACAGGCATAGTTAGCAGCCACCATAAGAAAGGTCAATTATACCATTCTTGAATTTCAGTGGGCTGTGTTTTGTAAACTCATTTTCTGGATTGTAGTATTATCACTTAGAGGTATCGAGGTGGGGCAAGAGAGAGAGTGCTGGGCCTGGAGTCAGGAATAATAATAAATAAGGATGATAATGATGAGGATTTTAAGTGTCTGTGGCTGGATTTGAACTCAGGTTTTCCTTACACCAGGCCCGATGTGCTA